TTCGCTATCTGGGAAACCGGGATCGTGGGTTCGAATCCTACTGAGGGCATGGATGTTTGTGTGCGTTTCTCTGTGTTTGTCTACAGGTAGAGGCCTTGCGACGAGCTGATCACCCGCCCAAGGAGTCCTACCGTATGTGTAAGATCTAGAAAAACCGAAATGAACGGAGTTCATGGAGGTAGGCCCAGGCCCACTGGGGCTGTAGTGCCAAGGAAAAAAAATATACTTTGAGCTACTGTCAACGTCATTAAATAAAGAAAGAACAGAAACACGTTATAAATAGACAAGCTAATCAAGAGAATTGGCGAGGTTGATATTCTGTATCGGTTTGTTATGAAACGAGTCTAGATAAATAGAAATATATCTCCGTTTTATTATCCTACGCACGTGACTCAGTCCATTGACCCACTTCTAAGTTCACCATTTCGACAGGCAATTTACATGAAACTGGCCTATATATTATTGATCTGGGCATGGAAATAGAATAATGACATGCAACTGAAAAGAAGAAACATTTTAATTTGTGTTCTATAATGATAATGCATTGTGCAAGAAAAGTTTCAAAATGCATGTATTTGAAATGAGGTTAGGTGTTATAATTATGACATGCAAAATAAATCACATTTCATCAACGACCCGAATGTTCATTACAAGTTTTGAATAGCTAGAGTGGCGTCATTAACTAGGCAATTACCTTCAATCTGTACTGCAATATGTAAAATGGTGTAATAATCCTGTAAATTACTAAGGTATTCTGCTACACTGAATATATCCCGTGGTATAGTAATGGCTGCCGATCACAGTGGCCGCACGGTCTAAGGCATGAACTGTCTTCGTTCGCTCGAACACTTGAATCCTGGGTTCCAATTCTACTGAAGGCATGGATGTCTATGTGCGTTTATTCTGTATTTTATGGTTCTGAGTGTAGGTATCAGCCTTCCTACGAGCTGATCCCCGGTCCAAGGAGTCCTACTAACCGTGTATAGGATTAAGAGACTGAAAAGCGGCCAAATTCCAACAAAGGGCTGTAGATCCGTAGATGGATAGATAGACAGATAGACAGTATTGGTTAATTTTGGCTGATATTTTTGGTTTACAGCACGCACACAAACACACACACACATATTCGTGTGCTATAATAGCGTTAAATGTGATCTATGTATTCCTATTGTTTCCACTTGGAGCCTAGGGCATCCGTGAAACTCTTAGTTTCAGTTCAGTTTCTTAATATATACAGAGTCGGTAAGACATTGTGGTCGGGGAATTAGTCCGTCGGAAGGCTAATACCTACACTCAGAACAATAAAAATACAGAATAAACGCACACAGACATCCATGCCTTGAGTGGGATTGGAACCCAGGATTCCAGTGTTCGAGCGAGCGAAGACAGTTCATGCCTTAGACCGCGCGGCCACTATGATCGGCGTTAAATGGGGTAATGTCTGTAAATGGTGAATTAGAAACGAAATGAAAGAACTGGTGATGAATTGTTTTACTTTACTCTCACAGTCACTTCCTTAAGGAAATCAACTAATATGTTCAATCCTGATAACAGCCTTACTGACAGGTAACTGGAAAACTGGAATCCCCTCCCCGAATCACACAACCGCGGTTTGTCATTGTTAAATTATTAAGAGAGTGTAGTGTTGCCAGAGAACTCAATTGGAGGAGGGTTAGATCCATCATGTTCTTAATTTTTACAAAGATAATTATGACGATATTACTACCGACGTCAAAATTACATTATTCTGTTTTGAGACAGAAGTGTATCTTTCGAATACTGTAATATGGTGTAATCTCCAACAGGCAGTCAGCCTTTCCGCCCTGCAGGGTCATGATAAGTGAAGCTCGCAGTTTGGAACTGACTAACTTTATGACACAGGGTCCCCTGTGAGCTGCTCAGCTAAGAGTAATCAGCAAAATTCCTCACTCTTCTTGGATCACTAGGTTTATTATTGTTTTCGGCACAGTTAGTCATGCTCTTTATCCTAAACTAGACGAATCCATTCCACAAAGTTACAAACTAAATATATAATATATATTTTATAGTGTCCTTCCACTTATATCTAGATGTCCCAAATGGTTTTGAAGCTTTTAAAGGCAAAGATCTCCCTGTGCTTAACTAATTAAGCACCACGCCAAGAAGATGTATGGAGGAGTGAGCGTATAGCTCCACCATTCTTGACTTCAAAAGCAGATGGAGATGAAAGCACAACACCTCTGAGCGCCGTGCACGTGCGGCAACTTCTCCGACAGAACTGTTGCGCGTGAAGAAATAAGCGTGCCATGAGACCTGCAGTCTCTTCATTTACGAGTTCATCCGGGGACTAAAACAAGTGAATTCCAGTTGTGTAGACAAGACATTTGATTCTACTGGTAGTTCGGTCAAGTACGGCGCAATTTTGGCAGCGAATTCATTTTAGGAAGGTCCAAGCAGGTGAGCGATAAACAGACTAATCCAAAATTTTGAAAATCCGGACTTTGAAATGTCTTTATAAAGAGAACAGTAGTAGCAGTGAAGAATATGCATATGATAACCAGGCAGTTATCGTAAGGATGGATGGAGTCCTTCCAAATCTGACCATGTTGCGAATTTCGATTAAGAGGAACCTAACAATAGGTCTGGCGTTTTTTCCATATAAGATTCAAATGCTGGAGTCTCTCAGCGGAAGCGTAAAAAATTACAATCTTTAATTTTCATGTTTGTGGTCTATGATCATAAAATTTTCATCGCCTCAAATTTGATGAGAAGAGGCCTTAAGTATTTTTTTTTATAATCAACCATAAGATGGCGAGAGAAGTTTTGCTCAGAAACTAAAGCCTGGCTGTGCAGCCAGTTCTTGAAAATATAGTAGATACATTTTGCTGAACTCTTGCTCACTAAGGATCTAACAATACTTGGTGGGCCCAAGTTGCATTAATAATAGGAGCGCAATAAATTTTTGGTCTCCATGCAGCTGTCAGTTTTAGGTCGCATGTGCTATTTCACGGAGAATGAACTCCATATATTCGTACGATTCTTGTACGTGTGACCGAGAGAAACTGATTAGTATACGTTGTCTTTGCGTTAAAGGGCAGTCTTCAGGTTTAAGTATGGGGAGTCAGTTCGAAGTCGCCCTTGATCTGGTCTGCAGCTGTTACCAAAGAACACCACAAGACTGTTGATATTGCTAAAAAAGCAAAGGTCTCCAGTCGCAGGAAAATGCTGTGTAAGTCCTGACGATGTCCAATAAGAGATATTTTTGTCGTTTTAACAACCAAATTACAATCTCATAGTCTTCAGTGTTAGATGAAATTGATAGAAATGTATATACTTATTATTTATCCTATTTAACTCTACAGTGTCCAATGTTTTTCAGACGTAAGAAATATTACAGTGTACACCTGATTACTCAAAAATGCTTAATAATGGAAGAAATGCTGATCACAGTGGCCGAGCGGTCTAATGTATAAACCGTCTTCGCTCGCTTGAACGATGGGATCGTGTGTTCGAATCTATTCTATATCTGTGTTCTGTTTGTAGGCAGCGGCCTCGGGACGGGCTGATCCCCAGTCCAAGGAGTTCTACCGACTGTGTATAGACTAAGAAACTGAAAAGTGCCGCGCCATAGCTCAAGCGGTTAGTCGCTGGCTTCCCACCGCTGCAGCGCGGGTTCGAACCCGAGTTTAGTCAAGTGGGATTTGTGGTGGAAAAAGTGGCGCTGGGGCGGGTTTTCTCAGAGTACTTCAGTTTCCCCTGCCAATCTTCATTCCACCAAATTCTCCATCATCATAATCACCATGGCAGGTACAATAGGCCAATCAGTGGCCGCCGTGCCGAGTGGACCCAGCTGAACTCCACCCCCCACTAAACGAAATTAAAAAAAAAAATAAGAAACTGAAAAAGCGGCCAGAGTCCACAAGGGCTGTAGAGCCATAGATAAAATGGGAGATTTTTTTTATTTTTTTAATTAGACAGTAAAGAGTCTTTAAGAAATGTTGAAGATTTAACGGCGAAAAAACGAATTTCACACTTCTTGAACTGTGTAAAAATAACAACACAAACGACAATAAGACGAGTAATAGTAACCACAATTATAATAATACCTACTTATAATTAGTTTAATTAGTTTAACCGTGAGAATCGGTAAAAACCGGTTCTCACGGTCTCTTCGCTTGCAGATTTCTTATATTTTTTCTTCTACCCTGAAGATGGAGGCGATACGTTCCTCCGAAACGTCGGTTAACACCACATATACACGGTGCCAAATCCCAGAAGACTGCTTTCTTCATAGTCACCGCCGTGAAAGCCTCAAATCTTACATAGTTTAATCTTAATTGTGCAGTAAATACAATTGTTCGTCGTTCAATTTTTCATAGCTAACATAATTCCTGAGAACTGTCGAATGGTTCATTAAGAACAGTTTTCGAATATTCCTAAAATTTAAAGAATTTGAGAGCCCATTAAGGAAGCAGACGTTTTAAACTGATAGAGACATATTTACACGGAAAAATGGCTTCCCTCAGAAAACTAAATCAATACGGGGCAGGCAGAATGAATGTGGTAAATGACTCTAAACATCTAAATGGCCTCACATCAAAGACTGTCACGGTTGCTGATGTAACAAGATCATGACGATGATGACCTTCCCCGCCCCATCCCTCACCCCTCTGCCCGGCGTACAGACGTCAGAGTTGCTGTAGTTATGTGACGACATTGTTGCGCGCAAACACGTGACGTTAGTCTCCGCGCGTCACTTATTGAACCTAAGGTTGCATTTGAAATCTATAGCGAAATTCATAATTTACTCTACAGTAATTGGCATGTTTCGTTGTAGGGGTTCACTTTTAATTAAAGCAAAATTTTGCTGATCGCGTAGAAATTACAAAATATTTATACGTGAGTCTATATTTATACATAATCATATTGAAGTTTTATGTTATTTTTGTATATAAAAGCTTTTGTAGTGACGTTTTTGTGAAGTTTTTTTCAATGCTACTTTTTGTGTTTTCTCTTGATACGGTTTCGTACAGGTCTCAAATATCAAATACATTTACAATTGTTGACTTCAATTTTTATTTGCTGAATGAGTTTTGTCATTATTGTGAAAACGTTTCTTATACTATTCTATATATTCTTGCGTGTGCTTGTTGGATCGTGTGGGCTGCAAAAACATTGGTAAGAACAACAAGAGAAAAGGACGGGGACTGAGGAATTAGTGGGAGAATATGGTAGAGGGGAAGTGAGTTACTTCACTATCGAGGAAAGACAATGTAACACAGCACTCGACTCTGGTATGGGAGTAAGGATATGTTGGAGACGTCCGGAATAGACGTTAGGACGTCGATGCCAGTAATGGGCATGATGCTTTATAAGTCTAAAAGAATATATATTTTTTTCGTAATGAATGCGTGAACTTATTATTCACTGCCAAACATATGTCATGTACTGAAGATAATTAATTAAGAAGAATACGCTGGCACTTCTATATTAGAAGCTTATAAAGCACAAGTGTTCCTGATTTATTCTTGACTTGTTATGGCTTTCGACGAGGGTCCTTTCGTGTTCAGAATCAACGATAACGGGGGAGGACCAAACCTCTTATTTCAGGTAAGATCTTTCTTTTGTAATAACTTAAAAATTTTGTCTGAAACACAACATTTTTAATAAGATTTTTCAAAATATTACTTTATAAGTTGTGGGAATGTTCAGTGATGTTAACATAGGTAGGAGTATTATTAGCTGATATAAACGTGATTTTAAGCCAACATAGAACTGTGAGAATTACTACATAGCGACCCACATTAGTAATTGCATAATTATTAATGCAAAGGCAAATGGAATTTCTCAGGATTATCCATTCTTAAATATCCGAAAATTATAAATTTATCAATTAAACAGTTAGGACTGTATTACATGATTATGTTTAAATTCGGAATCAAAATTTTAGTTGAGATGTTAAATTACAAAAACCAAAACAACTCCGTCCTGTGTCACTATTTAAGTTTTATCACTTGGAAACTCAGCACACTTACATGTTTCGATCCTTACGGATCATCTTCAGAGGGAACATCAGTACTTATTCGGAAACCACTATTGCAATAGGTGTTAAAGGAGACGATAGGACGATAGGAGGAATGACACGAACCTGCGTGGTTTATAAATTTTATTCTTAAAAAACAAAGTTAAAAAAAAACTTTAAAATTTAAATACCAGGAAGGCTGCTGTAATTGTCAAAAGTTGAATGTTGTGTATTCCAGGCATTATGTGTGTCTGTAATTTAACATCTATTGTAATAGTGGTTTCCGAATAAGTATTGATGTTCCCTCTGAGGATGATCCGTAAGGATCAAAACATATAAGGGTGATGAGTTTTCAAGTGATAAAACTTAAATAGTCACACTGGACGGAGTTGATTTTGTCTTTGTAATTGTTAGTGTGAAGGACCAGAATGGAACAAATCAAAGATATTAAATTATTTTTACGTTTTAAAGATATTTATTATGGTCGTGTACTCTAGATATTACTTCACAAAATAATGACTTGTCTTAGGTCCAGAAACCATCGCGTTTGACTTTGAACGCCTTTCAGTTTGTAAACTCTTCAGACTAATTGCTTCAAACTTTTTTAATGACATACTAATTTATATAAGAGTTACATTTTGTCTTATGACAAGAAACCAGAATTTTTCCTGTAATCGGTTACATTAACGATTAATAAGTTAACTTTACCGGAGAAGTTAATGGAGGTAAGCCTAGGCCCACTGGGGCTGTAGTTCCAAGGAAAAAAAAGTTAACTTTACATGTAGAAAGACTACTTAAGAATGTATTAATTAGGCCCGTAACTAGTATCTTCCTTCTGCTACACACGTAACTGGCTAGGATAAATACAACTGTTTCACATTCTTAACGCAAATTGGAATGCGAGAAATTCCATTATCTTTATGACTTGACCTAAGAAATTAAAATGAGAACGAACACCGTGACATTTTAGTAGAAATTACAATAATAATAATAATAATAATAATAATAATAATAAGACTTACAGCTAAATTAATTCATCTCCATTAATTTCCATGTTCTTTGTATTAAGAGCGCACATGTATGCCTGTAATATCAAAGCAGGGAGTGAGAGAGAGAGAGAGGGAGCAGAATGTCTGATAACTTTAATGTTATATTTTGGCATGTCGCTATAATTTTCAAGAAAATTGAACATAGATCAGATGTAACTTTCTAAATAAACATGTAATAATTCTTTCCTCGAATTTATCCTGCAGTAGGCAACCCAAAATAACTGTAAAACTGCTGTGTATTAGCTGATTCTTGGACCGTAGACATTTAATGTCGTTCGAAATATCATCACCATTTTACAAAAAAAGAAATTTTCTTAGAATTGATGTATGTACTGACATTTAAATGGATGTTAGCTATTTCATATATTTCGGCTGTCAATAACAAGGCAGATGCTTCCTTTCTGACAAAGTATATTCGTTTCACAACTCGACCGAACTATTTTACAGGCAAGCAGACCTCTGCTTTGAAGACAGTTTTCAGACTGAAGGCATGGATTGCTGTAATGCGGTTTATCTGTTTTCTTTTATTTCCTCTCTTTCTCTCTACGTCTTCTCTTTCTCAGACAGCTGACAATTTGATTCGCCAGTTTACATCACGTGAATCACATCACGCAAACAAAGTATATACCTTCCTTTTTAAGCTTCCAAAACGATTTAAAATATTAACTAGAATATCTTATTTTGGACTGAAAATCACGAATTTACAAAGAAATTGTTATATAAGCTTACATGTCTTGGATAGTCTGTAGTCTTACTAAGGTAAGGGCATCCTTCCATGATACAATCTACCAGTGACAAGGTAGCCTGTGGTTAAGAAATATTTTGTGTCCATCTTTCAGGATTTCATCGATGCCATTTCTATTCTTCATGTCGATAAAAGACTTACGTCAGTGTATCCAGTAACTACAGAATCTAACCTTGCTAAGAATACAATAGCTACTCAGGTAGTCAATAACTGTAGATTCCTACGTATTATTGAACCTGAAGCTCCTTCACAAGAGCCGGCGAATTTCTGGGGCCTGTGTAAGGTTTTGTAACATGACGGATTTTTCACGGCAGGGAGTTAGTCCATACCCAACTCGAAACTGGAGGACCACCAATTCTTGTTACTTCTCGATTGCATATTCAATATACGCCTATTAGCAGCTATCCTTCGTATCTGGAGGCCATCTCCTCTTTCCGCAACCTAAGGACACGCCGTGCAATGCTGGCGAAGGACCGATATAGTATGGATTCCTTTCCTCCCTTTCTCTTTCTCTCTCTCTCTCTCTCTATGGCTCTATAGCCCTTTATACTTCGGCCGTTTCCAGAGTCTTAATCCTATACACGACCGGTACAACTCCTTTTATGGGGGATCAGCCTGTATCAAGGCCGCTACCTACACACGGAACAACATAAACACAGAATAAACACACAGACATCCATGCCTTGAGTGGGATTCGAACCCACGACCCCAGTGTTTGAGAGGGGGAAGACAGTTCATGCCTTAGACCGCGTGGCTACTATGATCGGCGTTTTTCCTTAACAAGGCTAATTACAATTTCCCTCGTAGTGGAGTTTGTGATACACCACTTTTAGCGTGGGTTATATTGTTCCACGAAACAATACAATTCTTAAGTTGTAGAAAAGTAGTTGATGCGCCTCTTTTGAAACGCCTTTTCTAAGGCGTGGAGGGTGGTTGGACATTGATTTTTCCATAACATGACCCTCTGCATGCCACAGTCATTTCTCCATTCATAGAATATCTCATTCGCTTCTCACAATAGATCTCTTGGATATGAGTGTACAGCAGGGACTACGATATGTGGTCTTTCGTGATGCATTGCGTCCTCTTCCAGCGATGTGACAGATTTGACCTTCTTGTTAGATATTTGGAGAGGAATTTGTGTCATCTTACACAAAATTCCACATAATAATAAATTCTGGACTCAATTTTTATCATTACAGCGTTTGCATTTTTCTATGGTTTCTATGTCGATTACTTATAATTAATAACTTATTCAACTTGACTGTTTGAGATTTTAGATCCTTTCCGTCAATGTCAGGTTTTTGTCCTCCCATCTCATTCTGGATCATATGTGAGGGTGATTGTGGAGCAATTGGTGGAATGAAGATTGGCAGGGAAAACCGAAGTACTCGGAGAAAACCTGCCCCAGCGCCACTTTGTCCACCACAAATTCCACTTGACCAGACCCGGGATTGAACCCGGGCCGCCGCGGTGGAAAGTCAGCGACTAACCGCTTCAGCTATGGCGCGGCCTCCGACTCTTAATGTAAATCAAAAATAACAAATCGTATTATTAAAGTAAAAAAAAAGTAAAGGTATCCCTCTAACAGGCCGCTGAGGCCCAAAGGGTTGTGAGATGTTGAGGTTCCCACACGTTGTAGACAATCTGCTCATAGATGGCGGCAAGGTTGTCAGCCCTACACGCCTACAGCCCTTTACTCCCAAGAATAGTCCACGAATATTCCTGGTACACATTTCTGTTAGAGGCTGAGTCGAACCCAGGGCCATATTGCGCCTGGAAGGATTAGGTTAATTGAAAAAAAAATCCAATGACCTCATTGGGACTTCAACCCGCGACCTTCCGGCTTGCACCATAGCCCCTCAACCAACTACGCTACCGCGTGCCCCTATTAATAATAGAATTACCTAAATTTTTGTGGCATTTCTTTGAGGCTTCCTTAAAATAATTATTAAAAAATTTGGATAACAAAGGGTGTCTTGTCTGACTCCACCTCTAATCTCTGCATTAATGTGTGCACAGTTATCATTTCTAGAGTGATTTTTTACTTATATATAAGATCTGAATAGTAGTTACAAAATTTTTGGAATTCGTTTCGGTTTGATATATTCTCACATCTTTGAACTTAATGCTTCCATAATTAATCCCTACCATGTCGGATTCTATACCGAATTTTCCCCTCTTTTCAATTATTTGTTGTTTTTCGAGAAAATTAGATAAAGTAGCTACCAGAATAAATAGCGTCATTTTCCAGAAGAATATACTCTTCACAGTCCCCGCCGTGAGAACCCCAGATTTCACACTGGTAATCAGGTTTGTTAAGGCCGCCATTTTGTTCAAGTAGCATGTCTGACTTTGACTCTCATACTTAACTATAATGCTCAACCCTCGTTTATTTTCTAGTGCTATTTAATGAGGAATACAAGTTCTACACGCAAAACCCATACTTCAGAGAAATTTTGACATCTTCGATGCAACCTGTACAGAATTTCTAAACTATTGTCAATGTACTATCTAACACCGTGGAAGAAGAAACCAAAGCCACTGGACACGATCCAGACTTAATTCCATTCTTCTCCAGTCCTCACAGCCTGCCTCCCTAAGAACCATCTTAGTGTTACATTCCCACGTCCTCAATATTCATACTGCAATTCTTCAGTAAGTTGTGTCGCCAAAATTAGGCATACTCGTATGTTCCTGATCTCTTAAAACCTAGCCGCATGCCCATCACATTATTGCCTCATATTTTTTCCGCTCCAAGCAATATTAATGGCCCACATATATCACAAAATTCATTACGCAGTATCCTAACTTGCGCACTTTTCCTTCTTAAGGTTAAATATACGGAGTACTATGCTCTGAAAGACATGCAATTTCTTCGTTTCTCAAAGTAGGGCATTATATTTCAAGTCTATACAAAACAACTGGAAAGTTTTTGTTTAATACGTCCTGAACGTCCTCAGCTTATATGAAAAATGCATATCAATAAATATAAGCCATGTTAATGAACCGAGGAAGGAAGTAGCATTAAGGGTAAAGGCTATGAAAGCCTGGGACATGACGCCGTGCAGTCTGGCAGAAATTTACCAACGGCTTTTGAGCTCATTTTTTGAGCCTGTAGATGAAAACAGGAAGCTCCTCAGAATCATCCCAGAAGACATTCCTCTTCATAGTGACCGCCACGAGGACCTCGACGTCCACACGGTCTCTAAGCTGCGTAAGTAAATGGTGATGCGTGAGATAGCGGCCATGTTGTCGTCTGCTCGTTCGTTCTCAAGCCTGTCAAGACTATGGAACTATATCTTATTGGTTTCAAATGCCTCTACGTTCTTTGTTGGTATTTAAAAGTAAGTGTTTCATATCAGTGAGGAAATGGCCTCCGGTTTCATAATTTGTGCGCTACTACAATCATTTTAAGGGCACCAAATAAATACGGATGAAATGGGTACCGCATGTTGCATACTTTTCCCATGAATTCAGGAAGAGACCCGTTAGGTTACAGATTATTCTCTGCTGAATATTTTCAAAATTTTCTTGGGTTTCTGTAGTCAAATGTACCTCAGTTTAGGTCACGACCACTTGCTTCCAAATTATTTTAAATTAATGTTTCGCTAATTATCCTACCATTCGGCGCTACGTTCAGAGCTACTGAAATCTTATTTTTAATATAACACACTGAATGCCTAGTTAATAGTAATAAGATGTTCGTGTATTATTTTTTATGATGTATTAAACATTCTATCTCCTGCATGTCGTGAGCTGAATAACAATTTGTCCTTTTGAATATATTTTTAACTTTCCCTTCATAAAATTTAAATTGTGCTCACTTAATTTTACTAAAAAATTCTTCCAGTTTAATTTGTACTTCTATCTGAACTTTACTGCTTTTCAAAATTGCAAATTTGATTCTATTTTAGCGCACTAATTGCTCCATTGTCGCAGCCATATAATCCTTTTTTTTGTACTTTGAATGTACATTATTATAATAATAATGTATTATTATCAGTTTCAAAAGAAATACCAAACCGCAAAGAACCTTCGTACGTAATTTAGTCTAAAGGTTTTTATCCATCGTCTGTGTGTCGCTCCGCAAATAAATATGAAGTGTATATGTTAATGACCGTCCTTCCTACACACAGGTGTGTGCCGAACGGGGCTGGAGGGAGTATAGCGAATGCGGCTTACTAAAGGATAACTGGAACCTCTGGTGGAGAACTACCGGCTTACCCCTTTCCCATTACAAGCAGCTCAAAACATGGCAGGTAACAAATCAGAAGGATAATATTTCGGCTCCCAGCCTGACATTTATGATAACATTAACTAACTTTTTTTTTATTGCTAGTGGGGTGGGACTAAGTCCCTTGTACTGCGGCCATTTCTGGCCTATTGTAAGAGCCCCAGATGATAGATGAGGGTGATTGTGGAGCAATTGGTGTAATGAAGATTGGCAGGGGAAACCGAAGTACTCGGAGAAAACCTGCCCCAGCGCCACTTTGTCCACCACAAATTCCACTTGACCAGACCCGGGATCGAACCCGGGCCGCCGCGGTGGGAAGCCAGCTACTAACCGCTTGAGCTATGGCTCGGCCCAACTAACTAACTAGTTATCTGACTTCATGGAACTTAGCCCTTCTCGAGAAACCTCCAATTGTGCAGCTACTCAGGAACATCCCAGAGTTTTATGGAACACGAAGGTTCATTACCGTGTTCACAGGAGCCCTCCACCTGTCCCTAGCCTGAGCCAGATCAGTCCAGTCAATACCACCCCATCCTACGTCTCTAAGATCAATTTTAATATTATCCACCCATCTACATTTTGGTCTTCCTAGTGGCATCTATTCTTCTGGCTTTCCCACCAATATCCTATATACATGCCTCTTCGCCCATTCATGCTACATGTCCTGCCCATCCCATTCTCCTTGACTTGATCATTCTAATTATATTTGGCGAAGAGAAGAAATTTTGAAACTCCTCATTATAAAGTTTCCTCCAATCTCCTGTCTCTTCATCTCCCTTCGGTCCAAATATTCTCCTCAACACCCTGTTCTCAAACACCCTCAGTCTATGTTCCTTCCCTAATCATTTACGATAAAATACAGTATAAATTTAAATGTTTTCAATTGAAGTCTAACACTAGAAAAGTTTATTTGCTGGTTGGAACGTAAGGCTTCTAGGGAACACAGACTCATGGACACAGAAGTCAGCGATAGCCTAAAGAGAAAAGGAGACCAGGGGAACGGACATGACGCCACCCGGCAATGATCAGTGACTCAGCCGGGGGACTGACAAGACTGACAGTGAATCAGCATTCACTGCACGCAGTCTCTCAGGCTTCTGACTCAGGGTTATGTGAGTACTTATAGTACTCAAAATCTCCACATTAACATAACTTACATTTTAAATTTTTTCTCACAATGAACAGCATATTCTCTTGGAATGCGACGCCGTGTAATCTGGTAAAAATTCATCTTCAGAGACGATTAGAAGTAATGCAACAAACCAGCTAGAGACAAGTTGCAACCAAAATGGAGGCAGGAACTTCTTGCCAAGAAATTACGGTGAATTTCTACAGGATTATGCACTGTGATATCCCGAGTACAATTCATGGTCACCAGTGTGAGAATCTGTTTTGAAAATAATGTAACTAAATGTACAGTGCCATGCTTTTAAAACTTTTACAGATTCACCATAATGTGAACAGTGCAGTTTTGTTTTGTTTATTGATGACAATGATAGATTGTGGTGCATGTTCAGGTTTCTTTGTATCTACAGATGTCCTATGAAACAGGTTTCTGACCGCTAAATGGCACCAGCATGGCAAACTGCTAACATCTGATGTTATGTTTCTCTTACATACTTACTTACTTACTTAGTCATGGAGCTGAGCCCTTCTTGAGGAGCCGCCAATTCTGCAGCTACTCAAGAATTTCCCAGCATTTTATGGAACACGAAGGTTCATCACCGTGTTCACAAGAGCTCTCCACTGGTCCCTCTCTAGGAGTTTTAATAAGATAGTTTCCTGTCATTAAAATCTACCAATTTTCTAAAGGTCTGTGATAATAACTGTTTACTCTACCAGTATTTTGTTGACTAGTGTTTATTTTCTGGCCATAATTCAAAGTTACTGGTTCTCATTATACTGACATATTTTAACAACTAATAGTTTGATGTCAGGAGCAGTGTCAGCTCCAAAAAACATCGCGTAAATCAATTACAACTCACCTAACAGGCAATACCAGATATGATATTGGTATAACCGTCATCAGTTCGCCCCTGTAGTATAAAATATAATTTTGTTCAATACGCGTTTCAATGAGAAACAAGTAAATCCTTCAGCTTCAAGGTAAGTTATTTTACAGCACGACTTATTTAGCGATTTCTCACGATAAACCAGAAATCAGCCAGTGAGCGTACGTATTCGAGTTCTGCACGAATATGGGCTGTCACGCCAACCTGTCATTGGTAGCGATTTGTGACTTTCATGTGTAAGAGCTGTCTATACAATTTACAGTTTCCTTCCCTCAAAAAATATCATAACCTTTGACCTCAGAATATTTTAAATATTGCGGCAAGGTTAAGTATATTGATTGTTTTAAAACATTGTGATGGATTATAGTTGGAAAGTAATTGCATTGTTTCCAAGAATAATTATTCTCCACGGAATAATTAGTTAAATAAATACTATAAATTTAATAGCAACAGAGCACTTGCCAACAGTACTGCGCATTGTTCAAACTCTAAATATGTCGTCACCGACTGTTACAGCTTTCACAGCCAAGTGCACTCTTGCGGTAAAAAAAAAATTGGCCCTCTGGAGACATAGGCCATGAAACCGCAGGGGGAAGAATACAAAATGCAACGCATTCTTAACACCGACACTGATTTCGGTGGGCGGTCATCTTCACATTTCGGTTAACGTACCTCACGAGAAAGAGCCATGCATCCATAGGATAAGATCCTGCAGCCTGTCGTACTGCAGCGGATTAGGGGATATCTGTCGTAGCTAGGAATCAAACCCTGATAGCCTGTAGTTACCCATACAGTGATATACAGCAGCCCATCAGTTAATAGTGATAGCATCTAATTCAACACGCTTTAACTCCCTGAAATTCCTACTCATACTGGCTCTTAATAAATTATAGAGAAAAGAAGTGAAAATTTCATCATTATATTACAAGATTGGTACCCACACTTCAAAATGTGGTCTCGACAGTGAACTTGGCCTGCCCGTTGGACCTGACGAAAATAAACTTTCGTACCCGAAATTCAGAGCACAACCCATTGAGGTTCTCAGGTATTCTAATAAAAAATCTCCGTGGTTTTAGTCCGCAAAACAACTATACCGACCGTGGGACCGCCGCTTGTCGGCGAAGTTAGTGCCAACTTAACGGATGGAGGGTGTCGCGTGGTCAGCGCAACGAATCCCCACGGCCATTAATTTCGGTTTTCTAGACCGGAGCCACAATTTCCTTGAAAGAGCTCCTCATTTATCCTCATGAGGCTTAGTGGACCTGGTTCCAGACCCACTACTTCTCAGAAAATCTTGTAGCGCCCGGAATCGAACCCGGATCTCTGGATCTGTAGCCAGGAACCCTGACCACTACACCACAGAGGCGGTCCACGTATTCTTATGAGGTTACAAAAACCACGCATTATTGCCCTCCGCTTTAGGTCAGGTAAAATGTTTATGACTGGAGCCAGGAAGGAAGATGATTCCCGATTAGCAGATCGGAAATGTGATCGCGTTATACAGAAGCTTAGATTTCCGGCAAATATTGTTAAAATCTTATAACAGATACCAGAACCTGTAAGAAGAAGTTCGGAGAGTTAAATATTAAGCATTTTCAACATTTACACAATTATCACTTTCTCTTTGGGGCACCCGATAGTGCAGATGGTTCAGGTACTATACAACAAGTGCGGGTTTGATTCCCGATAATGTCATTGGATTTTTCAATTGACATAATAATTCCAGCAGCCCTATGGCCCTGGGTTCGAGTCACCCTCTAACAGAAATGAGTACCAGGAATTTTCCTAGGGGTAAAGGGAGGCTGGCACATAAGGCTGACAACCTCACGGCCATCTCTGAGCCGATTGTCTAGAACAGGCATGTCAAACTCAACTTGTACAGAGGGCCACCTCAGCCCTATAAATAATAGTCCAGGGCCGCACTTCAAAATAGAAATACCGTTATATTTTAGCGTCCTGTTGCACTGATTTATGTCCATGATTTATTCTGACCGTCTTACAGTGCATACATTTATTCACCTTACTCTTCTCACTTGCACTACATGTTTCGGCACTAAAGTGCCCACTTCAGGTGCTTTTCTATGTATGTCGAACTACTGCATTGCATGCCCTGTTTTCTTTATACTAAAATAACTAAAATATATTTTCGTCATATATATTGATAAATTTTAAATACTAAAAATGTTCAGGATTTGTCATCCTTATGCCGTATCTCAGTACGCGAGTCACACCTATCTTCTTCTGTCGGAGTATTCTTCCTACTTTCGTGTGTATTGTGCTTTGTGTTGTGTCTTGCTTCTGTGACTGCGTGTGTTATACTGCTGGGCCTGCTGGGTATGTCATGGTTGTCATTCATTGGTCGTAACAGACGTAGAAAGACCTCGGGGAACAGTGGGCTTTCTTCACAGAAGATTTAGCTTACAATCATATTTAGCAGTTGACTAAAAGGTCATCACTCATTGTACACTTGGCAGGCAAGATTACTTTATCTGTGAAAGTGGGACACGGGCCATATTCCATAACTTCACCAAGTGATTCAGGCAACCTAAATGCTGCTAATGTTCCAAAATTGCTACATTTTCTTTTAAATTCCAAAATGAACTGTCCAGTGACAGAGACTTAACTTTTTCTAATGGGCCGAACTGAGTATGAAATTTTCCTCCCCTCGAACTGATGACGGAAATAGATTCACCTTCCGAGACCTTGTATTTATGAAAAGCCAAGATGGCGGAATATATCAAGAATAGTAGCCGTATTTAGTTATTCTCTCCCTAGACAGTATTCTGCTACAGTAAAACTTGGTTATAGCAACATCGGTTTCTGCGACACCTTGTCTATTGCGTCAAATATTCAATGGTACGAACTAATTCCTCATAAAGCAACTGTTTTTATACCTTGCTTAGTACGACATGCACAAATGCATCAACCTCGTATGTAACGTCATTTTCATTCCTGAATTTCTCTGATATNATAAATTAAATATTTTTAGTATTTACCTTTTCAGTTTACAAATCACATCCCCAAAGGTTCTTCAATATGCAGAAAGGATAACTTGGCAAGATATTTACGGTGTATGAAGAAAGTTTACGGAACGATCTACAATTTCAGGTAAGTATTAGTACAGTAGCCGGTCACGGTAGCCCAGCGGTCTAAGGCATGCACTGTCTTCGCTCGCTTGGAAACCGGGATCGTGGGTTCGAATCCCACTCAGGGAATGGATGGTTAGTTTGTGTGTGTGTGCGTTTTTCTGTGTTTGTGTACAGGTAGAGGCCTTGCGACGAGCTGATCACCTGCCCAACGAGTCCTACCAAATGTGTAAGATCAAGAAAAACCGAAGTGAACGGAGAAGTTCATGGAGGTAGACCTAGGCCCACTGGGGCTGTAGTGCCAAGGGAAAAAAAATTAGTACAGTAAGGTAATGTAAAGTTGCCCCTGTGCTTAACTAATTAAGCACTACGCCATGAAGACATAGGGGGGAGTGGGTGTATAATCCTAAGTTTTCTTGATCTCGGCAATATTCGGAGGGGAGTACTCCCCTTCATGTCCCATCCGCTTTACCCATTGCATAGGAGGCTGGGTTGATCTCAGACCCGGTCTGGATGATATGGAGTTGTGAAAATTCTTGCCCCCACCGGGACTCAAACTCCGGCTCCTTGGTCGTCCAGCCCCTAGTCAGTCGCTATACTGACTGTGCTATCCTGACTCTAGTATTTGCACAGTATCTATTCAAATATAACTCGTAATAATTTCTGTCAGACACTTCGTTGTATACTGTAATTTTTATGAGAATGTACCAAGAAATAGGTAATTTCAACTAATGTGATAAAATGAACATCATGGGATTGCCTTGTGTGCACCGAAAATAAACTTTACTACTAATTTATTTTTTTTTAGCAACTTACGTGTTACGAACGAAAGGGTCCGACCGCAGCCCACATTTATTTCAAAATAAACTATTCTGAAATTAACAACGAAGCTGAGGCAATCTTGAGGTACTACTGCTATAATGCCCACTGAAGATTCAACGACTGTTTGTTATAGAACAGTTCGTAGTATTAATTTCCTCTGTTTTGTCCAATATTCCTTTCAGGCCTATAAGTTATGGAATGAATCCCAAGGTCAATGTTAATGTCACNATAATCGCCACTTCTTTGTACACATTTCTCCCAGCGTTCTGGGAGTTTGAAAATTCCCCTTCTGTAAAATTCCGTTCCAGCCATCCGAAGACACTGATGCACTGCTTTCTGAATTGCCTCCCTTGTCTCAAAACATTGTCCACACAGCTGATCCTTCACAAATCCAAAAAGGTGGTAGTCAGAGGGTGCCAGATCAGGGCTATAGGAGGGGTGTGGAAGGACTTCCCACGCCATCTCTCCAATTGCTTCCAATGTGAGGCGAGCGTCGTGGGGGCGAGCGTTGTCATGCAGGATGATGATGTTTCGTCCCGGACGTTTATCGCGCAATGCACGACGGAGCTTGTGCAGCATCTGGACATAACGAGCAGGACTGATGGTTTGCCCAGGTTCCAGGAATTTGGACAGAATAAACCCCTCTGAATCCCAGAAGACTGTGCCCATCACCTTCGCAGCTGATGGCTCTGTCTTTGCCTTCTTTTTTGATGGAGAATGCAAATGGTGCCATTCCATACTCTGCCGTTTCGTTTCGTTTCAGGCTCGAAATGGTGAAACCAGCTTTCGTCACCTGTCACAATACAGAGCAAAAAATCATCGTCTTCGTGTCGATATCTCTGTAGCAGCTCTGAGGTGATGGCTCTTCGCTGACCTTTGTGGTCTTCGGTCAATAACCGCGGGACCCAACGAGCACAAACTTTCCTATAGCCCAAGCTTTCAATCATCTCCTGTACTGCACTGTGCCCTATTCCAAGTTTTCGGGCTATTGTGTCCACAGTCACACGCCTGTCATCTTGAATGATCTCATCCACTCTTTCCTTGTTGCGTTCAGTTGAGGCTGTTCGAGGACGACCGCTCCGAGGCTCATCTTCGATGCTGGTGTTCCCATCTTTAAAATGTTTCACCCATCTTCGAACACTGCTCGCACCCATGCACACACTTCCATAAGCAGGCTGAAGTCTCTGGTGAATTTCTGCAGCAGGGATTTCCTCTTTCACAAGAAATTCGATGACAGCACGCTGGCGAAACGACATATCGTTGTCGGCCATTTTGTTAGGAGTGATACTGGTCACGTGATGCATGCTATTGACGTCACAAGACACTCAAGGTTAACACAACAGCTGGTTCCACCTACCACCATACTCTCTTTCGTCTGCTGTTCCCAGGTTGCACGCAAAAAAAAAAAAGTTGCTCATGACTTTCGGTACGACCTACGTATATATATATATATATATATACACCATTTTTAACCTGGCTTCATAATTTTATATATATATAAAATTATGAAGCGAGGTTAAAAATAGTATGTAAATAAAAATAAGACAGTGATTGAGTGAAACAAAGTAGAAGAAACTCTTGTACATTAATACGAACATCAAACCTCTATTTCTTTCCCAGTCATCCCGAATACCTTCTTCCTTTCGGTTCATAATTAACAACGATAATTATTAATTGTAATTCAGACCTTCTTTTGGCAATCACTAGTCTTTCATTCTTCGCCGGTGATCGTCATGATACTTCCAGATGTTATAAAATTGTACCATAGTTCTTGCAGATTTGTATTGCATTAAATTGGAATTATTTTAATACGTGTATTTCAGTCCACAGTGTTATAACTTGCCTCTGGAGTACACCAAGCTTGTGGCAGAATTCAGTCAGGGGAAGAATAATGGAAATGCTGTATGGATATGCAAACCTGTTGGTCAGAGTCAAGGGAGGGGTATATTCCTCTTCAAGGTAAGTAACGATACATTAAAACATGGTCACAAAACTTTGTTCAACGGAAAGCTATTTCAAAATTTGAAAGACCTTCACAGATTCCCGTACCATAGATGGATCCATTATGCATGTCTTACTATTAACAAAGAAGTACAGTGCGTACAATCAAGTGCGCGCCGCGGCTGCAATTTGCCGTGAGTCATACCACCGCAGAACGGATGCAACTCCTCCCCGCGACTGCAGTGCTCCTACGCCGATGGTTGCATAATCGGAACCCGAGGTTGCATTAAACAGTCAGTCTTTGTCTTGCTGTGNGTGAAAATTATTTCTCTTCCAACATGATGTATTTTGTGTTAATAGACTTGCTCCCGCATTTTCTAGACAATCGGTTCCAGATGGCCGTGAGCTTGTCAGCTTTACGCGCCGGCCGATGTTTACCCCAGGAAGATTCCTGGTGCTCATTTATGTTAGAGGCTGAGTCGACTCCAGGGCCATAGTGCCAGTGACCTCATCGGGAATCGAACTCTCAACCGTCCGGCTTGTAGTATAGTGCCTCAACCAACTGCGCTACCGCGTGCACTTGTTTGACTGATTTGACTTAAAATTTGAGTGGGCGGTCTAAGGCATGCACTGTTTTCGCTCGCCCAGAAGCCGAGATCGTGGGTTCGAATCCTACTGAGGCATGGATGTTTGGTGTTTGTATGTGTATGTGCGTTTCTTCTGTGTTTGTGTACTAGTAGAGGCCTTGCGACGAGGTGATCACCCGCCCAAGGAGTCCTAC